TTTAATATTGAGATCAAAAAGATAAATGATCCTTCCTAATATTATTTTTTCATGCGTAAGATTAAGGGGTAAAGATTCCAAATATTTTTACTCGTACAGATTATTTAGCCAGACGGTATCTGGTTAAAAAGAAGAAATAGATAACAATCAAGATTCATTCATTACCAATACTCTCCACCAAATACTGGAAAAGCTGAACAAAATGGATGAACGAATTACTAGGTTAGAATATAATAGCAAAGGAGCTATACCTAAGAGACAATATAAAGAGTAATAGCTTATTGTGATGGTACTAGTCCTTTGCATATTTTTACGTCACCATGTATTATTAATAGCAAATAAAAATCAACTAGATTATACGAAAGTTATTTATTGAATCCTTTATTCTTCGATCACTTATTTCAACGAACCTACACAATTGTTACGTCGTCGAAATAAGTGTCGAATCAACAGATTACAAAATATAATATTAAATAATAAAATACATTCCTTAACCTAATTATATCCAAGTTCAAAGAACTTTCATTTCTTTCCGACCTTTTGCGAATAGACCCCTTATTCTTTACCCACCGCTTGGACTACCTGTCTGAAACGGCTCGTGATTACGATCACTTCATTCAGGGATAATGTGCTATCCCGGTTATTAGTTTATTTTATGTCGGAAACACTCCGTTATTTTAAGTGAACTTAAATAGTATCATTCCCCTGTCTGAAGCGGCTTGTGACTACGATCACTTCATTCAGAGATAATGTGCTTTCCCGGTTGTTAGTTTGTTTTACTTTCCAAACACTTGTTTGAGTAAACTTCTTATAGAGTTCCGGTTTCGGTCCTGAAGGTAGAATTGTCACGAACATGTCTCCTCGCATTCTCTGCGACCGTATATTCAATTTTGCTTTGTCGAAACATTCAATTACATTTGATTGTAAATACCGATTAGACAATTCATTCGTCCGTAAAAATAGTCTGATAGTAAATTTTTCGTACGACCGAATTAATATTTCTCCTGAACAAAATAGCCAGTTGCATTTTTAGCACAACAACTGAATAGACAGTTCAATAATAAACTTTTGCTGCGACCGTGATTACAACAATTATTGATTTCATTTTGTACGTTTGATTGAGGCTATTCGGAAGTCATTTCCGGCCGTTTTGTTTGTTTATTTTTGTTCAGGGTTTGTACCTATTACCGCGAGGGTGGGCGTTGAAATACCTTAATTTATTTCTTTTTATTTTGTAAATAGTTAGAAACAATATAAGTGTCAACGTTACCTTGCCGTATTACTGGTTACTAATTCCTTACTTTATTTCCCCCTTGTATTTCAGCTAGTGATAAATTATGTACCAGCCCAAGCAACGATGTGTGTCTAAGTGACCTTTGACCCCTGTAACTACCCGAGTACTTTCGACGCTGCTTCGAGAGTTTGTGGAGTAAACCACAACCAAAAATCTGGCGTCCGAGGGCCGGCCGTAACCAGCGCCATTAGTAAGGGACACTTTTCTCAGAGGCGAGAAAACCCCTTACATTATACAACAATCGTATGGCCTTCTTCTGCAATAAAAAATTTCCCCATATAACAATGCCATAAGATATATGCGAGAGAAAAAGCGAAACATAAGTAATTTTTAGTACGTCAAAACTGTTCATTACTTCTACACGTCTCATCACTGTATTAGCAGAAAGTTGCATAGATTTTATAACTGAAACTATCTCGTCTTTATTTCTAAAGTTGGCAAATAACGAATCAGCAGCTTCTAAAAACGCCTGTTTTATCATTTCCCCGTCTACATAAGGTTTCTTTTTTTGTGCAATTATCTGGGACACACGGTACGATGCTTCAGTTGCAGCCTTATTTTTGTCGACTGTTCTTAAAAATATTGATTGTTGTCCAATTAACTGCTTTTTTAACTGTTTCAGTTTCTCCTTTCTGGCGGCAGAATGTAGTAGGAACGATTTTTCAAAATTAGAATGTACAGTTTTATGATGTCTCTCAATATTTCCTTTTTTAGCAACGGAGACCGAAGTATTACATAACAAACACACATTTTTATCTTTAACTTCTGTAAAAAAGTATTGTTCTTCCCATTCCTAATGAAAGTGGTATGTCTTTACCTTCTTACAACTGCTTGCCATATTATTTTTTGTTGTCCTCTACTAACCCAAGCGTTGGACGTTGGTTACGCGTTCAGTTTTAAACTAAGCGCAATGTCGCCACGCCGTGCGTATTTATCCCGTTCAAAGCAATCCTGATCGTTTTCGAACACTAACGCGCTGGTCCGGCTGGTCGGTTCAAGTCGATTCTAGCTTGATGGCGTCAACGGCAGATCGCTTACCGCAACGTTGCCGCTGTTTATGTTTAATATTATGACAATTAGATTTTTTTGTGGAATTTTCGGAAGCTTCTCTGATTTTTGCAGTTTGTATTTTTATATTAAAATCGTCGTGAGAGCTACCAGAATTGCCTCCGCGAGCTACCGGTAGCTTGCGATCGACAGGTTGGCGACGATTGCCTTATGGTATAGGTGTAAAAAGAGAGAGCCTATGGTAGTTAGCTGGCGAGTAGAACGGCTCTTATGCTGTAGATGGTAAAAGCTCGAAATTTGCGCGAATTTCGAAACGTCGGCCGGGCGCGCTTGCTTCGCTCGCTCTCTCTTGTAGCGGTTAGGAGGTGAGTGGGACGAGCATAGCGTGCTCTTATGCCGTAAAGGAGAAAAATGCGCGCCCGGCCTATGTTTCAAAATTCGCGCAAATTTCGAAACGTCGGCCGGCCTAGCGCGCTTGCTTCGCTCGATTGCTTCTGTAGTGGTCCAAAGGTGGGTGGGACGAGCGAAGCGTGCTCTTATGGTGTAAGTGTACAATAGGGTGGCGCAAAAATCCGACTATTTTTTTGAGTCTCGTACGAAAATATGTTAATTTATCATGTTTTAAGACCTCTCCAAAAGGGCAGCTCAAGAAAAAATTTTTTAGGGGTCGCTCAAGATTTTTGAAAATTTAAAAATTAGTCAAAATTCGATTTATTAAATTATGCTTTCATTATTGTATTGGATTTTTTTTCTATATCGTGGTGAATTATGATCTATTACCTTGCTACTTAAAAGCCAAAATTGAAATTAATTCTTAATATTAGGATTGAAAGGTCCCTCGAAAACATCAAAAGCAATAATGTTGTGTATAAAAAATTATGAGTGACTGTCATTTTTTCTATTTTGGGTTACAAAATTCTACCGTCACGAGCAAAAAATAAAAATAAATCGAATTTTGGATAATTTTGAAACTTTGAAAAATCTTGAGCAACCTCTAAAAAAATTTTGTTTGAGCTGCTCTTTGGAGGGGGTATCAAAAAACGATAAATTAACATATTTTCGTACGAGACTCAAAAAAAATAGTCGGTTTTTTTGGGCCATCCTAGTGTACAAAGAACGCTCCCGGTCAACTGCGCGAATTTCGATATGTCGGCCAGAAGCACCTTTTTCACACTTCACCGTTCGCTTCACTCACTCTCTTCTGTTGTGCTTAGAACATGGACAGGGCGACTGTAACGTGCTCTTATAGTGTAGGTGTAAAAAGGGCACAGGCGAATTTGCAAACATCAACCAAGCACGCCGCCCGCTTCTAAGGTAGTTAGGACGTGGGAGAAAATTCTGATAGGTTTACACAAAGCCATTTGAATAAAAAAATTATAAAATAAATCAAATTATCAGTATGTCAGTTAGAAATATACCAGGCTCACCATTATTTCAAAATAACGCAAGGATGTATTCCAGCTAATAGAGTTAGCACAATGCTTAACGGTTTTATTTTAAATTTAGTAGAGTACAAAAAATTATTTAAAAAAATATATTCTTGTGTAATTTTTAGAGTGATGGTCAACGCAGTATATTTCTTATTAAATTGATTTATTTTATAAAACTTTTATTCAAAACTTTTTTGTAAACCTATCAGGAATCTAAATATTAGTTACGTTAGTTTTGTGTATATAAATTTCGACTTAACCTTAACATTTTAAATTTCTCAATATTTCTTAATTAAAAAATATGCTTAGATAATATGGCCATCCCATAGTATTTAAATTTATTACCACTATTACATATAGGTAATGTTTTGTATCATGAGTTTACATATTCTAGACGATCCTCATAAGTCATTAATATAAAAAATAAAATAAAAAAATGTTAATTTAAGGGGTTTCCAGTGGTATATTTGAAAAATACTCTCCTTCCTAAATTCTTCCGAAATTAAAAATATTTGTATGTTTTAACCGACTTAGTTCTGAATGTAAACACTGGCAACATTGTAATCGATTTTTTAAATAGAAAATTCAAATTACAAATTAACAAATTCAAACATGATATTAAGGGTATGGTCCGTTATTAACCGATTACTAACCACAAGGAACCAGGACTTTTTGATAGCAGTTCCTGAAAAAAACTTATTTCTTGGTTGCATTTGGAACATGGCCGAGATTTAAATCACTTTTGTGACAGATTACATTTGACTTAATAGTAACCGTAAAAATATAGCGTCCCTAATTTAACCAATTTTTCAGGAATGTCAAGCAGAGCAGTTAGTTTTTGTACCGAGTAACCGATATTTCGGTTAATAACGGACCATACCCTAACTGAGTCAGTTCTTCAACTGATTTTACATTATGGTTAAAATTGCATTTTAATGATAATTTTTTTATTTTTTAATATTAGGTAAATCAGAACAAAAATATCGATTTGTAGAAGACACAGATTATAAACAATATAGTCCTGTCATCGTATCATTAGTAATTTTTGACTTTTCTACTCAAAAAATGGTGAAAACTTTCAAAATATAAAACGTAAAAAATTAGGTGTAATAGTGGTTCCGCCAAAAAAAGTATGATACCGAATTATATACAGTCTATAGAACTTTTCTCAAATTTTTGTAAAAATCTGTGTTTTGTATATACTCAATTTTTTCCTAGAGATTTATATAGGACAGGTGTTGACATATATACATAACAATCACACAAACCTGGGCTTTCCAAAATAAATGGTATATTATATTTGGTAGAGATGATTAATGGAAATGCTTCTGTTGTTTTGCCATTCCCAATAAACTTAAAATATCCATCAGCACTTTTTGAAAACCAAGAATGATTAGGTTCCTCTTTTTTTAAAGTACCATATACAAATACTTTATGCAATTCTGCAGACTTTGAAGACATACTTTCAATATCACTAAAGAAAATTAAAAAAATTATAAAGGAATAAAAAATAATTTTGATTTTGAAACATTTAGGCATGCAATAAGAAATACGGCTCTGCCTTGTGTCGCCCCTTATAAAATGTATGATTTCGGATTCGAAAACATTCATGTTGGAAATGAATCTTCCTATAATTTGAATTTTTCATAATTTAATACTTAGTACAAATATCTGAATACCACTTACGTACTACTTAAAACGAAGGAATGAAGATAATTTCTAATAATCAAATTGAAATTATTTTTAAATTTCTTTTCATAATAATTAATTTACGATAACGATATAACCTCATTTCTTAACTATCACAAACCACATACTTAAATAGGTATACGGCGTAAAACCCTCTGCGCATCTTTACTGAGTGTTTAATAAAAGAAGATAGAAATTACCGCCATTTTTATATAAACAAACTGAAACTTATGCAACCAATTTATCTTTATCTGTCAAAAGTGTCAAATTTTAATATGTTTGTGAATTTGGTTAAATTTTTTTCTGTTATTTTAGAATATTTTGATTGTGGATATTATTTTCTAAGTGTATAAACGTTTTATTTATTTTAATATTTGTGAATAGACTTTAATCCCAGTATAAGTTCTCTATACTGGGCTTTATTCAAGATGTGTTGTCTTGTAAGATCTTGCAAGAACATAAGAAGACTGTTGCCAATAGATTCAAATGTTACATTCCACAAGTAAGTAATAAGATTTAGCAAAAATAAAGGATATGAAAGAAGTGTCTTTATATTATTTTAGGGTTCCAAAATAAGCAGATCGTTCCTTATTGTGGTTATCTGTTATTTTAAAGTATCCTGGAAATTTTAATATTTTTAACTTCCTCTACTACTTTTGTCATTTAAAATTAGTATTTAGGTATTTAATCTATTATTTGTCGGCCTATTATTTATCAGCCTAACATGTATTTTTAAACATTAAAATATTTTTTTTGTTGTAGAATAAAAATTTAATTCAGATATAATATTGTATTATTTGTTTTAAAAAATTTGTACAAAATGATGTTTTTAAAAGTGAAAAGACCTAGACATCTGCAACCAAGTTTTCATATTGCTGTATTTCTGGTCACCTATGTACTAGTAATCTTGTATAAAAATGGCCGCCCCTATGTTAAACAGGTCGGACGTCTCTCTTGCTCCGTATACATACATTGCGTTCGGTTTGCCACGTTCCTTTAACACTTTTAACTCCAAACGACTCTTTTAGCGTTCGGTTTAGTCCGATTTGTGACAGCTTAACACGCTTAAATGTCATTTAAAAGCACCCTAAAATTTGTCCCGCTCCAGCCCCTGACTGACCGAACTCGCCTCTATTACATAGATAAACTAATAAAGGAGATGGTCGGATTATGTGTTAATCTTTGGAAACGTAGTGCTGCGAATTAGTATGGAACGGATCTTTTTTGAACTACACTGGCTGATTGATTTGTCAGTAAGAGGCATAAAAAAAGAAGAGTGTTAACGTAACCGCGGTTCATTTAAATATCTTTATTTATTTATTTATATTTTTTGGGGTTCACTACTTTAAAAAGAAAAACTAATATTTATATTAAAATATTGTATTTAACATATATATTAGTTTTTTTTTGTTATAAAACCCCAAAAAATGTATACAAAAATGTAGACAAAAAATATTTACACTGAAATAAAATATAAGACAAATAATTTAAATTATTTATTATACAGTAATACATACATAATGTGTTAATAAAGAACAATTGTAAGTGAAATGAATACTAGTTTCCCCACATTCTTGTAAAAATGGACCATACTTTGATGGGCGTCAGGTGTTTCCTATAAAAACAAAACAAAAAGTGTACATATATGTTATTGAACAATTTCTCTTATCAAAATGTTGACCATTTTTATAAAACTAAGTTATTTTTAATTATTTGACGAAGATTGAGAACGACGCAGTCAACATATCCAACAATTTTGTCATTAACTGTATCAAAAGTGAGTTTTTCGGTTAGAGCTATTTCGTCGAACATTAAAATACAATTCCTATCAATTTCTGGCATTTTTCTAACAATTTCTTTAAATCTGGAAAACACTGAATCATTTATCCCCGTTTCAAAATGTAAATCACTTAAAATTTGTTGGATAGTAGATTTACTAGGCAACGAAATGCATTTTCTTAAAAAATTATATGCTCTTGGACCATTTTTATATAATGCTAAAGAAAAAATTTTATTCTGAGTGGTCCAAGAGGGTTTCTTTCTCTTACAATTTTCTAAACTACTTTTAAAGAATTTAATTCCAATCGGATCTAATTTATTATTAAAATCTGAAAATAACTGAGTTTTGGATAATTCAAAGGCTTTCTTGATTTTATTTTTGGAAACACGTAGAGCTTTCTTTAGCTTACAAATTCTAACGTTTTGTTCTCTATTAATAAAATACAGCTTTTTCTCTTTGGGACTTAAATTTTTGATTTTACTTTCATTTATTTGTTGCAAAACAGTTTTTCTCCGTTTGGAGGGTTGTTCAAATTGTACATCACTAATATTTAGTTTACGTTTGCAACTAATTTCTTGATTTTCGTTGCTGATTAGCAAATCTATCTTATTCTGCTGTGTTTGTGCTTCAGCCTCAATATATTCTGAAATCTGGCTCTCGGGTTGTATATTTTAACTGGATGCATAATTATCTAAAGAAATTGGTACAGAATGTACAACTAGTCGTTTACGTTTTGAGGAAACCTTACTAAAAGACTGGCAAAAAATGATCTTCACAAAGATAGCGAGTATTATTATCATCTAAAGTTAAATTTAAATTCTTAAACCAGTTCTGGCGAACTTTAACATCAGAAGGAAAATGAAAAAATGCTTTATTTGAATAACCAACTTGCTGAATATTAGAATAATACTTATTTAAACAATTAGGAGCTGAACAAGAATACTTAACTATACCCGGGCCAGACATTTTTGTTTCAAATATTAGAAAAGGAATTGTTGAAATATGAAATTAGATACCTATATATCGTTAAGGCTAAGAAAACAATGATAAACAAAGTCCTTAAATACTTAATATTAAATTAAAGTTAATACTTACTAATTACATCAAATCAGCACCGTTTGTTTCTTAACCTAAAAATAACTTACCTACCTATGTAACTTACATCATAAAATAAAAATAAGTTTTATTTTATCATCATATCCCGCCTTCCGCCATCACGTTTTTCATTTTTTACAAGGTTGTCAATCCCGTCTTTTAAAAATCTCAGCAATAGTATGGACATTGTATGGATGGTATGGTGCGCATGTAGATCGATAAAAATTAAAATAAAATGAATTTGAAATAACTATCATCTCATGAAAGTTTACGGAAACCGGCAACATCGCTTTCATACTATTGCGATGGTGGCGCTAACTAATAGTATGCTGGGAACTACGCCGTGTTGACAGTGGCGGGCATTTAATAAATTCATCTTGTTTTATATTAATTTATCTATGCTCTATTATAAGTATGTGTCACAAACAATGAACTGGGGTGCTATTTTCAAAGTCGAGAGAATTCATTTCTCTCGAGAGAAATGTCATACGTCAACGTAAAACAGTATTTTTAGGGTCCTAAGGGCCAGTGTAAACTCACTGATTATTTCTCACGGTTTATTTAGAGATAATTAATATCCTCCTAAGAATTTTAATCCTCGAGGCCTTTAAAAACAGCGTTTCCACATTGACGTATGACATTTCTGATGAGAATCTTGAGAGAAATGAGTACTCACACGGTTTGAAAATAGGTCCCCTGGAGTGGGGTAGAATGCTTGTCAATAGGCTTGAGATGCGACTCTATGGGCGAAGACAGGTTATTTTTCATCTCACTCGGGACTATTTATAACGACCATTTTCTATTTCACTTTGTTATTGTCTGATCCACCAGCCTGTGGATTGAACAATAACAATGTGAAACAGAAAATGGTTATTATAAATACTCCCGAGTGAGATGAGAAATAAAAATGGCTGCGCCCATAGAGTCGCATCTTGTTCAATTGATAAAATATGCACATTAGCTTTCTACCCCACTCCAGTTCATTGGTCACAAACACGAAGGATTGTCAATGATGACATATATATTGACGATTATTAGCAGCACAGAACATGATCAGCATACGGACCGTGTTGGCTGGGTAAATTATCCTGCGGGATGTAGTTCAATAAAGGAAGAAGAAGAAGAAGAAGATTAATTAGGTTAGATTTGATTGAATTTTTTAACAAAAATAAAAACAAACATGCAAAAATTGAACTCGTTACAAATTTAACAGTAATACTCATTAGATTAGCTTTCTTTCTTAATATCACTCGAATTAGTATTGTTTTGCAAGACACCATTCTCCATCGTAAGTTCTAAGTTAATTTTACTGCTACATCAGGCTTATCGGGTTTGGTAGGTATAGGTTTTTTTTGCACCTAGGTGCTTTGATATTGATATTAATGATAGTGACAGTTTAAACAAAAAATACCATTTATTTTATTTATTTTTCACATTTGATTTTTCTTAATATAATAAAGTTTTGTTTATCAAGTTTTGCATGTATTTTTTGTTTAACTTTATTAATAGCTTTTGACACATATGAACTAAAAATCTACGTACCTATGTATTTTTTTATTCTTAGCTTTTAACTGTAATATCTATAAAAAAATATATATGAAATAGGATTAATTTATAGAGCAATTGTGGAGACCTTGCTGCAAGGGGGTACCTACCTCCATTTTTGGTAAAATTTTAGATATCAAGTAAGAAAAAGCTTAATTGATTGTCGTAACCATGTAGAGCAAAGGCATTTAACTCTATTCTTGGCAAGAACAGATTCACGGGAAATAAATTTTTATTCAAAATATTTGGTGTATATTTGAACAAAATAACGCAAAAAGAGAAAAAGAAATTTTTTTTTTGCTTAGTTTTGATTTTACAGACCCCTATTTTAATTTATATTGTCAGATATTGTTTCGTATCCTACGAGATACTACGCCTGGTTAAGGATACATAAGTTTAGTGTTCTCTCTGGTCAAACTGTACACTAATGACATAGGCGACACGTTAGGCAGTTTATCTGACATATAATTCTAAACCTTTTTAGCAGGAAAGTCAATAATGACTCTTTTTGCATGTTGTTTTATACTACAGAATTGTGGATATAGATACTGGTAACATATATATTTTTTGGTTTTCACCACAAATAATAGAAGCAGTAAAGTTAACCATATTTTCGCAATTCGCTTCAAATAATCAACTTAAAATAATTCAAATAGGTAGGAAAACTCATATTTATTTATAAAAATCAAACAAAACTTGTAATTTTATAAAAAAAGTTAAAAATACACAAAGTTGAAACAAAACTAAAATACGAATAAACAAAAAAAAAAAAACGTAGCATTCATATGATATACATTTATTGCAGAATAATAATCAAAATAGATAGAATCACTGAGTTCATTTACTAAAAATCAAACCTAATTTCCAATTCTATAAAAAAAATTAAAATCACAGAAAGTTTATGCAGCCAGGTCCAACAAAAATTTTGTGTGGTTGGCCTACAAATAAAAATAATAATACAATGTACGCCATTGAATTCCACGGGCGAGTTAAGTTATTTTAGTATTACTTAAAACTTATTTTTAAAAACAAAACTTTATTTTTATTGTACAACGGAATAGTGGTTTACTCGACAGAGGTTAAAGCAAGAAACGAATCTAATGTTAACAAGAATTATCTACATGAAATATGATATCTGTACAACGTCACTATTATTTATGTGATATGGCAAAATATCTTTATATAACTCCTCCCTTCTTAAGAGAAAACAACACGGATTTGGGGTTGTTTTCTGGTTTTTCTTCTTCGGATTGTTGTGTGGGTTGTTTTTTTGTTTTTCTTATGTAGTACCATGCTATACCAACGGGAAGTACAATTAGGATTAAAATTACCAAATTGAGTAAATTCCAAACGGCTGGATGGACTTGCTGAATACTCGGCGAGGTTAATCTGGATTGGAGTTGCATTTCTTTAATAGATTAGAGGTCAATTGCATGCAGCTGTATGGGTTCTTCTGTATTTGATAAGAGGAATGATACAATTTTCATCCGTTATTTCTTCATGGTTTTGGCATAGATAGACGTCGTTTAATTTTGGACAGGGAGTTTCTTCGTATTGGTGACTTGTTGTACCGAGTATTAGGTAGGTTTTGTCAGGAATTATTATGGACTTTTGGTAAGGTAGGCCAATTAGGTGAAATGTTTGGTAGTTATCATTTATTAAAATAGGTAAATGTATGGCAAAAATTATATTTGAGTTTTTCATTATTACTTGAATGCCTGTTAATTGATAATAGTGAAATGGATTTTCAAATCGAAGAATTTTATTTTCTCCATAGAGAGATGCTAAGTGATTTACTAATTTTAACAATTCATCAACTGAAACGATTGATGTATGCAAGGTTCCTGAATGAGCAAACATAATTGCGTTTTCTAAATTATCTAGGAAATTTATTAAATTTTGACAGTTTAGAATTATTTGATTTAATGCATTTGTGAAAGTTATGTAGTTATAAATATCTTCAGTGTAGTTATTTAGTTTTGTAGACAATTCTCTTAGTTTGTTTCTAATTAAATTCTGATTTTCATGTAAAATGGTTACTGTTTTATTATAATGATCGATAAGATCTTGATTTAGAGAGGTTTTAAGTTGCAATTGATGAGTTAATGAGTTTTGATTTTTTGTAAGTGTTTCTATTTGATAATTGTATTTAATTTCGTCATTATGATCTAGGGTTCCAAAAAGCCATTTGCTTGCTGTGCCTAGACCGTCAAATAATCCACGTTTGTTTCTATTTTTAGGAGTTAAATTATTTAACTTAGTAGTAGTAGTTTTAAGTAAGTATTTAGCATGTACGAATATATCCTTAATAATAGGTTCATTATATCCTAAACTAGTAGTATTAAGTAACGTTTCTAATCTATAATAGAAATAATTAATATTTCGTAATTGTGCAATCAAGGATTTTGTCTCTATGAAATGTAAGAATGTATGTTTAGTTTCTATTACTTTCGTCTTTCCTAATTCAAGGGGTAATAGGGGTGTATCAAGTTCATGTATTTCAATGTCGCAGATTAAAAGGACAGGGATGAAGGTTAGGAGGAATATTATAATGATTTTGGGCGTTGTTCTTTTGTTCATGGTCCTGAAAAAGTTAATTTTTTAGTCGGTTTTTTAACTATTGATTTATGTATTTGTTTGTCTTTGTCTAATAGTATTTTGGTACCTAAATCGCGTTTAACTTTTGATATGGTATGGCGAGGTTTGATTTTATTTCTTTTAGCTTCTCGATTTTTTATGAATATTGTTTGGTTATCTTCGTAGTTAACGGGATTTTCACGGGTTTCGTTGCGTTTATTAATAATTTTTTCTTTTTGATTTAATGTCCTCGCAGCTATTGTGTCATATAAAGTTACTAGTCTTTTTCGTCTTTCTGCTATATAGTCATTAACAATTTTTTCGTCTGTCAAATCAAAGGGGTCGAGTGCTTTAGTATCGCCTAGAATAATATCGTAGGGTCTACATTTTGTTACGCTATGGATTGATGAGTTATATCCTAATACAGCTAACTGTATAAATTGTTTTGGCGTTATATTAGGATTTTCAAGTTTAATTGTGCGAGCGTTTTCTAAAAGAGATAAATGGAATCGTTCAACTGGACTATTGCTATTGGAATTTCGAGGAGTTGTGAAATGTAACTGAATTTTATGAAGTTTGCAAAATTCTTTTAATAATTGGCAATGGAATTCTGTTCCACTGTCACATGTTATTGCAGCTGGTATTCCGAAGTGGGTTATAAAAAGGTTTAAGCCTTCAATGATTGCTAGGGAATTTAGGGTTTCTATTAAATATGCTTGTCCGTACTTGGAAAATGAATCAAAAATAGTTAGAAATTTGGTTTTCATTATTTGAAACACATCGATATGAATCATTTCAAAAGGTTTAGTAGGCGTTAATGTAAGGGAGTATTTAATTTTAGGTGGGTGGCGATCGTATTTTGCTTATTGGCAAATTTCGCACGAATTTATGTATTCGGTAATGTCTTTTTTCATATCAGGCCAATAATATTTTAATTTTAAAGCTTCTAACGTCTCATTGATTCCTCGATGACACGTTTTCTTTTCGTGATGATATTTTATAGTCTGTTCTCTATCTTCTATATTTTCTAAATCTTTTACAAATTTTTTTGAAATGACTACTTTATATGCATGGTTTTTAAAGGTTTTCTGTAAGGTAGATACTAATATAGGTATTAGCTCAAACGAAAATTCGATTACGTGTATGCAATACAGTTTCTTGGGATCTAAATGATTTTTAAACAAATTAATAATTTCGTTTTCGAGGTCTTCTGTAAAATTTACAGATATGCGGGATTTAGATTCGAATGGCGGTTCTTTAGTTATATTGAAAGTTCTAAATTTACTTTGTTTTATTATAATTTGTTGATTATACGAGTTTGTTATATTTTCGGTAAAAGGAATACCTAATATGGGATTTTCTTGTGAACTGTGTATCGTTTCATTGTCACTATTATCATCTAAGTCATGTATTTCTAAGTGTGATTGATTATTATCTGTTTCTTGATTATTATTTTCTATAGGGTTATTAAGAGTCTTTAACATATTATCTAATTTTCAAACGTTTGTATATCTTCGTTAATGTCTCCGGGGTTACCTAAAATTGAGTCGTTGTCTAGCATATTTACTTCTATTTTCTCGTTTAAGCATTTTGCTTCCGTACTATTTAAAAAATCTTCTACATGATAAAATTCAAAATTTTGTTTATGAAAGCTGTTTAAAGGTATCACTTGCAAAGGTTCTTTCAACTCTACTTCTACGCGTTTATCAGTGTTATTAATAATCTCGGTTTTTGCAAAACCGTGTTCTACAACTGATGTTAATGTTTCTGGAAGATAAAGAGTATCAAGTTGCATTGCCGGCACGATAACTTCTCCGGAATAATAATTTACAGGAACTTTGATTGCGGCAATTTCATGGGAATCAACTTATATATTAAAACGTTTTCTATTTAAATTATAAAATATGGGAATTTGCGTATTTTTATTTTTTAAGATATTATTTTCAAAGTCTAGGCATAATTTAAGATTTTTTATTACATTTAGACCAATAAGTCCGTCGAAGTGATTATGAAATTGGAATAATATGAATGGTATTGTAGAAGATGATTTTAATTCTGTGAATGCCGGTATGTCGGCTTTAAATTTTGCTTCCTTTTGACCTACGACTGTTTTTATAAATGTCGTTTCATGATAAATAGTATCAGGAAAGTACGTTTCGGCTATACCTGGATTTAATATTGATTGCATGCTACCGGAGTCCACCAAAAGTTTTAACGGAGGATTTTCAATTTTAATAAAAGGTAATTCAGAAGTATTTATGTCTAAAAATATTTCATTTATTACGTGTTTAGCTGATTCTGGCCTAGTATCCAAAAAATTTCGTCATTAGAAGCAACGTCATTCAAGTCGTAACTTTCTTGGTTATTATTGTCAGTATATAGATTTGATTTATTTGGAGTTTGAACATTATTTTCTGTATTAACTTTAGTTTCAATTTGGTGTAATTCTTGAGAATTAAAATTTCGGGGACCCTTTGGTTTAAAATAATTGTTACGTGATTGGTTGTTTCTAAAAGTATTTCTTGAAGTTGTTGACATAGGTTCAGGGTCATTTTGAGGAATTCTTCCTGTGGGTGCAAATGCGTTTTTAGGTGGTCCAAATACTTGTCTGTTCGTTGGGAATTGTCTATTAATTTGTCGTGGTTGAACTTGGATAGGTTGTCTCGGAAATTGATTAAAATTTTGGTTTTGATTTGCATTAAAAGATGGGGGAATTTGATGTTGGGGGTTTGTATGAAAATTTCGTTCAGGTACTGGTAAATTAAAGGTTGAGTATTGTGGGTTAGCTGTATAACCCATGTTTTGATAATTATTATTAGGCGTTGCATAAGTTTTGACGTTATGTTGATTTTTTGCATTATAATTATTATATTGTTTTTGGTATGTTAGGTTTTGTGTAGAATTGTTTTGAGTTTTAATATTATTTTGAGCATAATAAAAATTTTTTTCCTCAACAATATGAGCAATAGCGGTTTCTATAGTATCGGGGTTTTTAATTCTAATAGTATGTTGTAAAAGTCCTGTCAAATTTCTAATTAAAGTTCTAAGTGACATTTGGTCATATTGTCTACGATAAATTTCTTTAGTATTAGCATTCATTTCTTGTTCCGAAAAACTATTTACTCTTTCGATCAATTGGCTTCTTAAAACCTGTAGTCTTTTTGCGAATTCTAGAATAGGTTCATGTTTTAATGGTTTAGCCATTAACAGATCCTGCTCTAGGCATTCTAAAGATCTCTTGTCTCCAAAACTTTGTTCTAGAGCGTTCTTTAATAAATTCCAATTATTTAATTCTGTTCTCCTACTAACTAATTGACGTGCACTACCTACTAACTTTGAACGAATCACTCTAAAAATATAATTATGTAAAACTACATCGCGAATATTATCATATGAATCTACTAAAAATTGACAATCTCCAATAAACTGCATTAGTTCAGATGGATTACCATCGTAAGTCTGAATTAGATCTACGGTTAACTTAAGCATTTGCATATTAATTTCATTATTTTGATTTTGAGCCATTTCGTTATTTATTAAATTGTTTTCTTCGCAAGTTTCGTTAATTCGTACTAGATTATTAAAATTAGCAATCAATTCTTCTATTTCAAAATTCATTCACTTAACCTATAGTAGAATAAATCTTCTAACCAGGAAAATTTACCTATCTTAACTAAACTAAGGATAATGCAATAGGAAAACTCGGTACTTACCAGTAGTTATCCCTGCGGTGATTCTGCTACCAACTTCTGAAGAGGGCCAGCGGTTTCCGGGTAGGTTTGGTTGCCAAAGAGTTAAAACTCACGTTCAATTGGAATCGGTCTCGATGCCGTGGCTTCACAAAATCGAACTGCGAACTATCCTACTGACTGCACCAGTTAAGTTATTTTAGTATTAAAACTTATTTTTAAAAACAAAACTTTATTTTTATTGTACAACGGAATAGTGGTTTACTCGACAGAGGTTAAAGCAAGAAATGAATCTAATGTTAACAAGAATTATCTACATGAAATACGATATCTGTACAACGTCACTATTATTTATGTGATATGGCAAAATGTCTTTATATAACTGGCGTGATTTTTTACCGAGTACTTGGTAGCGTGTCCCACCACATACAAATTTAATTTACTATGTACTTGGCAGTGTATCTCCTCAGAAACATAACATTTTAGACAGTCTCTAATTTTTTTATGTTAGTATTTTACTAAGGTTTTCATGTAGTACAATAGTATTGAAATATTTCTATGTGTATGCATACTCATATCTTATTATCGCGCCTAATTTAAAAAAAAAAATAAAATTTTATATACACCTGTACTCACCATTTCTCAAAATGTTCGATTTCACCAACATACATCTGTTTAAAATAACTTATCTTGACTAAAATGGAAACCATTGACTTCAAACCCAAACGGCCGTTAATACAGGGTGTGGTACATACGGTCTTGCCAACATCATCCCTAAATTTAACGATTTACTACTTACAAAAAAATCGGGAAAATTCGTATCTTGAGAGATAGGACGCCAAGAAAAGGGTTAACTTTTAACTTTGTAATAAGTGTGTTGTTAACTGTAGTTCAAAAAGGGGCAGCTCCAATATTTTATTTTAATTTTTCCCTATAAATCAAGTTATATCAGCAAGAAAAAAGTTGTAAGTTAATGTAAATGTCATCCTTTGATTAGAATATTTGATTTTATTAAAACAAGCAGTTGCTTTTATAAAATGTTATTTTCTTTCCCAAAAGGTAATAAAAATGTCCCTTCTTGCAGAAACGTCCTCAATTATTATTTCTAACGGGCAGAGTGACTTGAATATCAATCAGTGTTATTTTGTCTGCATTATTTTATAACATTTGGATTTTGTGGTTTCATCCTAGTATCCGGAGGTGGTAAATTCGAAGTATATTGAAATAACTTTTTATAATATCTTAACTAAAATTAGACACGGAAAATAATGTTTAATTTGCTGATTTAATTTATATGAGTTGGAATTAGTATTAACTGATTTTCTCGATGATTTCCTTTATTTCTAGGATTCTTGGGGTACCTAACTTCTTAGATATCAGGTTTGAGAATTAAAAAATAATAATGGAAACTAAAAATACAACTAAAGAAGGTCATTCCAATTAAGTCCAAAAAGTATAACATATAAATACATGATTTTTAATTCTCAAACCTGATACCCAAGAATTGAATGGATAGGTGGATAACCAAAAAACACCTCTCATTGTCAATGATAATACAATACCCAATCAATAAGCTCAAGGATGCCAAACCAACATTGAGATATTACGGCTCACATAAGCCCACACAATTCCATTACATATAAACTATGTGTGGAAGAAGAAACCACAGAACATTGGAAATATCACTCCCAAGAAACACTTCTTGATAAGCAATCTAATAAAACTTATCAAAGGTACAGGACTATTCTGCCCCAAAATAGTACCTGAACATGAGGAAAGCAAGGGAAAACGAGAAGGCACATTGTTCTGAGCTAAATTTAACCCCATCTGCTTATACCCAACAAAGATTAAGACAGTGCAGATTTGTTGGACTCTGTATTCCTTACAAGTTCTTTTTGTTTTTCATTAAATACTTAAAACCAGCTGGGTAAAATAAGTTTTTTGTGTCATTAATGTAATATTTACAAAAATTAAATAGTAATTCTAATGCATAGGTAGGATTCCCTACTCAACCATTCACTGTCTGGTTCTAATAACAGTGCTGATCCTAAAGTGGCACTGGGAAACAGTTACAAGGCCCATCTGTAGGGTGCAGTACTATGGAGTATTATACCACTAGTACAATCCATAACCTATATAGAACAGGATGTTAATGATCTAAGTTGTCGAAGCCAAAGACACCAATGAAAAAAAAAAGTAATATTTACAGCCATTGAAAGGAGTAAAGCACATAACATGATCTATATTTTAATACTTATCATGTGCCTGCCAACTCATATTTTGTTCTTAAAGGCCCGAGGAAAATAAAACATTTTTTTTTTTTATTAAAACATAATATAATGTATATATAAAAAAATGTAGGTACAAAAGATAAGATACTACTAATGATAGGTAATAATAAAGCTGTATTTTATATAATTTAATATTAAAATAAGTACATATCAAATATTTGGTGTAGTTATATAAAAACTTCAATTATTTCTGTTTAAGATGGAGTTTTTAAAACAGTATTCACCTGACGCAGCATCAATGATGAAGTAAGTAATTTAAAAAAATCTCATGCGGTATGGAAAAATATTGGGAACAATTCTTTAGAGATGCTCTTAAGACTAATTAGTAAAATATGCAATATTTGTCATAAGAAGAACCGATATGCTGCTTAATTTTTGCAAAGAAACATACAAGAAGTTTTACCAGGATAATTTATCAAAACAATAGTTTCTGTTAATTTATTTCCAAATTCCCAAAATGTTTAAAGTCATCCAGAGATTAAACAGGACTAGTAAAAACTCGGAATAAACAGTGGTATATAGTTATGCTAAAATAGGGATTTATTAAAAGCCTTCCAATGATGTATTTTTTAAATTTTACTCCTATATACATACACATTTTACTGATTATAATATCGATGTGAAAGTGCCCATAGGTGACATGTACAATTTTAAAGTTGGACTTAAACAAAATAAATAAATAATTTAAAGCTCTGGTAATTTTTCTTTGTATAATTTAACTAAATATGTTAAAATTCAATGTACGTTTATTTAGGTCAAACTTCCAAATTATGTACAAGTAGGTGCTGCCCACACCTGTCGTTCAAAATGTGGTACTGACTACATTAGTACAATGTAAAATAAAAGTGCAGAAAATAGTTTGCGTAAATATTATTATTATAATGTTCCTGAAGGTTACAGAAATAACACCATGTTTTTATGATCTAATTGGAACCAATTTATTTAAAATCCTTTTCATCCCTTATATTATTAACAGTACATAGATAAACAGGATACTGGTTGACTGTGAAAGGTATTTAAAACGCTGATCACAGCCCATAAGGAGAAAATTCCGTAATTTCCGGGAATATTTTTTAGTTTTTGAGATTAAATATACATTAAAATGAGTTATTTTTATGTAGAATCGATAAAAAATAGCATTTTTATTTGGACCATATTTAAAAAAAAATAATCAAACTATATGTGACTATTTGAATTACAAGTATTAAAACCAAAATCGTAAAAGTGGCTTTAGACGCGAATCTCAACTGGGAACTAATTTTTTTCAAGTTAATTTTATTTTAAAAATTGGTAAAATTCATAAATTATTTTAAATTTAGTTATTTTGTCTTAATAATTTTTTAAATTTGAAGATTTTCGTTAGTGAGTCGTAGAAAAAATATACTGTACTCGAGCGATTGAGCAATCCGCCTACGACGTCGTCCCCAAACTTCGTCTTCGTGCGATATGGCCATCATATCCACTCTTGTTGCACAAACTACTATTATAATCATTTGGTATGACCCTAACGTTGAGCAAAGATAGCAAGTGAAAAGCAGACAATAATTCATTATTTTCATTAAACTAAAACTTTCTAAATTTTGTGTCACTGACTACACAGGTTTATAGTTAAGCCTCAAAATTGATTGAATGGTGATACCAACTCGGATTTTACTCACCATAAATTTTTGTACATATATCAAATAACCCTTGCCTAGAGCACAATAATGGCACTTCATATCTCTCGATTTGTTGGTTATACATATCCACATTTTTGCACAATAAACTTACTGCTTTGTAATTTTACTCAAATGGCCAAAAAATGTACTTACCACTTCTGTGCACTATATCATCGATATAAAGGGTAGAGCCATCAAAAAGGTGTTATTTTAAAGTCAAATTTTAACACCGTTTTCAAATTGATTCCCAATATTTAAATTCTTTTTATACCTATATATAGCTTACAAAAATATCACAATTAAGACTATAAAAACATTTAGCAAAACTTTAAAAATGCTACAATTGGAAAAAAACAGGAATGTATATTTCATAAAAGGTCTTTACAAAAACATACCACATATTCCTTAGACCAAAATAAGTCGATATAAGTAAAATTACCTTAGTACAAAGTTGCTTCGTTTGGGCTCCAGAGGGCCTTGAAGTTACAATTTTTAAATCGTTTTTCCCATATAAATATAAAACGGCATATGCGATTTTGCTGAAATTTGGTATATTGGTAGAGTTTTATGTGGCAAAAACAATGATATTAAAATTTTGTCCGATAATAATACATAGGCGTAGAACTTGATTTTTTAAATAATTGCACCTTTAAAAATTCTACGCCAATGGAAGAAAAGGAGTTTGAGTATGAAATTTAGATTGCGCAACTCATTTACTTTAAAAAAGGTACTCTTGATAAGACTCGATTACTCTCATGGTTTTGACGAAATTTGCATTTTAGTAATTTTAGAACATAAACAATAATTATTAAAATACAAACTTTGTCAAAACCATGAGAGTAAATCGAGTGTTATCAAGGGTACTTTTTTGTAGTAAATGAGTACCCAATCCAAATTTCATACTCAAACCCCTTTTCTGCCATTGGCGTAAAATTTTTAAAGGTGCAATTATTTAAAAAATCAAGTTCTACGCCTATGTATTATTATCGGACAAAATTTTATACGATGAAAAACATAAAAATGTACTTTTTTCATATCTTCTTCAACACCTCTAATCGAGACTTTTCACAAAAATACTCGATTCTTGCCATGTACGATTTTTTGAGGAATATTAATTATTTGCCTGCAATACGTATACAAAAACATTTATTGTTGGTGTCCATAGTTTCATCTAAATAAAAATATTGTCAAGTTTTAACACCTAATCTCATGTTAACGATTGAAAGTGTTCTATCTGACTCAATAATTAAAAAAAAAATGCGTGGTTTATTAATATCGCTGTACAATATACCAATGCAGAATATACCGATATGTTACTGACATTAGGATTTTGTGAAGGAAATGCTCAAGAGAGTGTCAGGGTGTTCTCTGAAAGGTTTCCAAATCGTCGTGTACCTAGCCACCCAACTTTTGCTGCTGTTGAGAGACGTCTTCGGGAGACCGGTTCCTTTGCTCCCAACACTGTTGATAATGGAAGAGAACGTTTTGTAAGGATTCCTGAAGTTGAAGAAGACATTTTAGAACGTGCTGAAGAAGATCAAGAATTAGGCACCAGACGAATTGGAAGGGAACTAGCAGTAAGTAAAGATGTCGTTCATAAAGTGCTTGGAGAACAATTGCTATATCCATACCATAAGAAGCCAGTACAAGAATTATTAGTCCATGATCCTCAAATTCGTTTGGGTTTTTGTCGATTTGTTAATATGCAAAGAGAAAGAGATCCAAACTTTGTCAAGAAGGTTCTCTTTACCGATGAAGCGGGTTTTACAAGAAGAGGTATAACTAATACCCATAATGAACATGTTTATGCCGTTGAAAATCCGCATGCAATAAAGGTAAACCATTTTCAGCACGAATTCAAAATTAATGTGTGGGCTGGAATAATTGGTAATTTCATTGTTGGTCCTGTCATACTTCCACGAAGATTAACTGGAGAAAATTATTTGGATTTTCTACAAAATACGTTGCCAGAATTGTTAGAAGATTTACCTCTCCAACTTCGGAGAGATATGTGGTTTATGCAAGATGGAGCTCCACCACATTTTTCTTTAAACGTTAGAAACCACTTGAATGAACAATATCCACACAAATGGATAGGCAGAGGAAATGACGCACCTGTAAACTGGCCACCACGTTCCCCAGACCTAACACCGATGGATTACTTTTTATGGGGACATCTGAAATCCACAGTTTACAGGGAACCTGTAGAAAATGAACAACTCTGGCAACGTATTCAAGATGCAATAAACAATCTTAGAGGTGATGAAGAAGTTATGGAAAGGATACATTTTAATTTTCTTCGACGTATAAATCTTTGTATGCGTGAAAATAGTGAACTTTTGAACAATTTTTGTAAAATCTCTTTTGATTATGTTGTAAATAAATATTTTTGTGAAACCTATACACTCTAAATTATTAAAACAGAAATTTAGCGAAAACCATGAGAGTAATCGAGTCTTATCAAGAGTACCTTTTTTAAAGTAAATTAGTTGCGCAATCTAAATTTCATACTCAAACTCCTTTTCTTCCATTGGCGTAGAATTTTTAAAGGTGCAATTATTTAAAAAATCAAGTTCTACGCCTATGTATTATTATCGGACAAAATTTTAATACCATTTTTTTTGCCACATAAAACTCTACCAATATACCAAATTTCAACAAAATCGCATATGCCATTTTAAATTTATATGGGAAAACGATTTAAAAATTGTAACTTCAAGGACCTCTGGAGCCCAAACGAAGCAACTTTGTACTAAGGTAATTTTACTTAAATCGACTTATTTTGGTCTAAGGAATATGTGGTATGTTTTTGTAAAGACACCCTAAAATACATAATATTTTGAAATGCCTCATTCAAACATTGTTTTTTTTTTTATTTTTAATAGGTGCTATAGAATCATCAATAGAAAGGTATATTTTTCTTTAAGAGTCCTAGATATGTATGCATATCGTCTTAAATGTATTCAAAACTACAATTCAACGAAATCAAGATCTGAAAAAAGGTAAAAATAGTTGATTAACTTTTACAAAATAAACTGCAATTCCTTTAACTATTTTATAATTTTTTTTCCAATTGGAGCAATTTTTTTAATGAAATGTTGATCCTAATAAGGCACTATTTTTAGGCAAAAAATAAACTTCTCATCTGCAGACAGGAATAAGACTGCCATTTTGGAAGTGCTTGAAAATTTTTTCGACAAATCCATAGAAGGAAAAGTATTAGAAATCTCATCTGGTACTGGTCAACATTCTGCCTATTTTGCTCCCCATTTTCCTAAACTTACCTTTTATACGTCAGAGTATGAAGAATCTCTTATGGATAGTATACGAGCATATGCTGCTGATACACCTACAAAAAATGTAAAGGAACCTGTTTTAATAAATGTTATAGATGACTGGACCAAGTGGAATGTTCCAAACGATTTTGATTATGCTATTAATATTAATATGATTCATGTGACACCTTTCCCTTGTTCAATAGGACTTTTTAAAAATGTAAGCAGTATTTTAAAAATTGGAGGTCTACTGATCACTTATGGAGCTTACGCAAATAACGGAGTTTTGGAGCCAGAATCTAATAGAGATTTTGATAGAAGTATAAGAAAAAGAGATCCGAACTGTGGAGTAAGAGATATTCAAGATTTAATAAAGGTTTCAGAAACGTATGGCATTAGTCTTAAACATATACAAGAAATGCCGGCCAATAACAAGTGCATAATATGGCAAAAAACAAATGTATTTAAATAAAGAGTATTCTCATTTACAATGTTCATGAGTTAATATGACAGTACTTTAAGTAAATTTGTTAATTTTTTTTATGAACGTGTTTTATTCAAAAGTCTGTTTTTCTTTTATGATAAATAAAAATAAGACACCTTTAAATTAATATTCATCAGAGCTGGGTAATTCCTAGTTAAAAAGTAATTAATAATTACAATTGCCTTTTTTTCATGTAATTTGTAATTGTATTTAAGTACTTTTTTTCAAAGTAATTTGGAATTGTAATTGCAGCAAAATCTGTGAAGGAATTGTACTTTGTAATTATATGAATTCATATTTTTTAAATTGTCTAAATACAATTACTTGTCATAAGTACAATTACTTTTCCAATTACAATTACATTTATAAGTACAATTACATTTTTTAATTACAATTACTTTTAAATGCGTGTTTGTGAGATGCATGTGATACAAAAACAAAACATTTCCTGTTCCAACTGTTCAATAGAGCTCGAATTCGCATCCATATCATTTGCTTGAATGCATTTGAGGAAAGCATTGTGCCTTGAAGCAGTGAAATTGTTCAACCCAAAATAATAACAGTAAGAGGATAAGTAGATGCAGATATCCTTATTTCTAAGACGTATTTTGTATGTATATTATTATAAACCTAATTTATATTGCATAAACATTATAAACTAAGGAAATATAGTATGAAGTGGTGCAAATAGCAGTTTTTATTGGGTAAATACCAAAAACTACTTATTTACGTTGCGTAGGTATTTCTAGTTATTATTCTAGTTTTCTACATTGAAATGTGGGCGTAGAAAAAAACATAGTTTTCTATACCTACAGGGATATTAGCTTATCTACGCACAGATTAAAAAGCTATTGCATTCAACTGCACAAATATATTTCATATCTATTTTAAGTAGTGAGAACACTGCAAAAAATGAAATCCACCAATCACAGTTCATATTTTGGATACGAAACTACTATTATTTTTAAAATTTTAAATAAGTAACAATTATTCTGTCAAACTAATTGTCAGTATATTTTTTAGTTATTGAGATTAAATATACACTCAATAAGGTATTTTTGTTTAGAATCGATAAATAATATTTTTATTTAAGCCACAATTTGAAAAAAAAATTAAATTTTAATCAAACTATATGAAACTAGTTTAATTACGAGTATTAAAACCAAAATCATAAGGTGGCGGTGGAGCTGAGGACAGAGCATCTGCCTTCCATGCGAATAGCCTGGGTTCAAATCTGGACAAGGGACTAATTTTCTTTTGTTTATTTTATGAATTAGTAAAAAACATAAATTATTTTAAAATTAGTTATTTTGTCTTAATAACCTAAAATATTATAGATTTTCGTTAATGGGTAGTACAAAAAATATATTGTACAACTCCATATACACTCTTGTTGCACAAACTACTATTTCAGTTTCAGTATAATATATCAATAACAATAACACATTATACAGGATAATTTACCACGCCTCTGACGTTTATAGCGAATCGAAAAATACGTGTGGCACTCGAGGACTGCCGCGGTAAAGCTATTGCATAGCATTTTTTATCAACTTATACAATTATAATTATTACTTATTTTATTTATGCAGTATTTTTTTTTTCTTTGATATTAATTCAAGTTTTTTCTTTGATATTAATTCAAGTTACACTTTTTGAGCGTGGTGACCGATAAGAAAACAATTTTTTTCTTTTATTGAATAAATGAGAAGTTAATATTGTTTAAAATATTTTTATTATCTTACAATACATGTAGGTTATTCAGGAATTATTATCATTGAAACTATAGGTTTATGGTAACTGAACTAAGAAACATAAGTTTGAGACTTGATATCCTCTAAATATCTGGAAAATACCGCGTCAATGGTGGTCCCATATTTTGTTGTGGATTCTTGTGGATCATTATTCATTTTCAAATTCAATTTTTCCGAAATTATGTCTAAAAGAGATAGAATCAGTTATGAGCAGTTAGCAGCTAGTCTACACGCATACGTCTAGTCGCACGCACACAAACACAGTGCCCAAGTCTGCCGAACTTTAACGACGTTGGACGATGCACGGCTTTCAATGCCGCACCGCTGTGCCGGTCAGAATGGGAATTGTTAGGTTTATTTTGATTACGGAATTTTTTTCGACTTTTCGATTTTTCTGTTTTTCGATTTTCTTTTATTGAATAAATGAGAAGTTAATATTGTTTAACGCCGCACCGCTATGCCGGTCGGAGTGGGAGGTGTTAGGTTTTTTTCGTTACGGTTTCGTTTTTTTCTTGATTCGGTGCCGCGCTCAAAGCCCGCGATAAAAGCTATGCAATAACTTAATAAAGTTTTAAAATGGCTCCTATTTTTTAAGTATATATGATGAGGAAAACCACCTTTTTAAAATTATTTTAAAAAATGTGGCGTATCAAAGTTTTGTGACACACCCTGTATTTTATTGCATTTTTAGATTCTCCCTGAATAACTATTTCATTGATCTATCAGACTTGTTTGTTAAAAAATGAGATTTTTGAAATTTTTTCTGTCAAAACTATTCATAATAACTAACTTATTCCTTCCTATCCTATTTCTTTTATTTACTACCTCATAATATTTAATTAAAACAAATACGAGGTGGTCAAAAATTCAGACTAGGTAAAATATAAAAGTACCTAGGCGTAGGTACACGGACTTTTGTATTTTTGTTGAAAATCAATAAACTTTTAAAAGTTTACATTTTATTATTAACTTACCTGTTCCATTTTTTATACTACTTATCGATTTTGTCTTTTCCCTTAAGTTAAGAAGACCTTAAATAGTACAGAAAACAATACACTTAGGGCTGGTTGTATAAAGCTTACTTTAGGTGATACATGTTAATTTCCGATGCTATATGTGTATGTTAATGTTTTGGAAAACAAGCCCTAAGTGCTAAATGGTATTTATAGACTGTACCTATACCATACAAAATTTGTCATGTGTCACCTCAAACCGAGTTTAATTTTAAGTAAGATTTATACAACCCGCCCCTAAGATATCTTTAACTTTAAGGAATCCTTAAGAAAGTCGTTGCAAACGGCTTTTAGTTTGACACTTTGAATTACCTATTTAAAATTTTTATTTGTACTGGTCCGTTTGGTTCATGGTTCCTCAATTCTATTATAATTTGTTGTTTTATTGACAAAATAATTAGAAAAGTAATTATAAAAGTAATTGCTAATTCCTTCTTTCATGTAATTAAATCAATACAATTCCTATTTTTACAACATGTACTTTGTACTTATAATTAATTCATTTTTTGAAAAATTACTTTGTAATTGTAATTATTTTTAAAGTACATGTAATTACCCAGCTGTGGTATTCATAACATGTCAGTAAATACTTATTTGTTAATATATTTATCTGAAATAAAAGTTTGTATCTGGGAGTACCATTATTATTTATTTCCGTAGGGCTCCTGGTTGGTTAGGACACCCCAGATAACCACATCATAATCGGCAGAATAACCTACTGGATTTAAATTCCTAAATATCGTTTCAAAAGATTATAAATTACTGCTAATTTTGTTTAATATATTAATCCATAATAATATAAATAAAAAATGGAAAAATAATTACTAAAGGCTGTATGTCACGATACTAAATTAAGTACTAAATTTAGAACTAAATTAATGCATTTTTTAAGTACTAAAAAAATTCACGTTGCAAACAGCAAATTTAGTGCTAAAAAAAGTCATTAATTAATTAGATCTTGTTCTATTTTCTACTAAATTTAGTACTAAAAGTGCGCCGAAATGTTACGCAGAAGTTTTTCATAGAAAAAGTTGACACGACGGTATTTTCTGTACCCTTTTATTTTTAATTAGCGACAATTTTACATTATCGCCTTGAATAAAGTTCGCTTGTTTGATTTTGTAGGTTTTATTGTGTTTTTTCGTGGTTATTATGCTGTATTTGGTTGTTGTCAAGTCAACTAGTGTCAAATTGATAATAAAAACACCATTTACTTCACTTGTCTGTTTCACACAGAAAATATTTCATTTCTCTGCTAATTTCACGTATTAATACGTCAATGCGCATGCGCCTATAGTAAATTTAGTACTAAAAATTGGTATCGTTGCAAACGGAAAAAAAATATTTTTAGTTCTAAGTTTAGTACTAAATTAATAACTTAATAATAATATATATATAAATATATATAAATATATATAAATATATATATATATATATATATATATATATATATATATATATATATAAAAGCCAATTAAGGCTTTGTCTTTGCCGACTAGTTAGGAAATAAGTTAGGAAATTTTTGGGGAATTTGGCAAATTACTTCACTAGTGTACTCTTTTAAATTTATTCCGAGCTTTCGAGTATGGTTATACTCATTGGCCGTGTTCATCGTCGTCAAACATGTTTTAAAAGCAAAGAAACATGTTTCATAAGCGGTTGGAATGACGCTGAACGATCATTTTTGTTTACGATTTGTTTTCTCAACCTCAAATCTGTCAAAAAATGGAATGACATTTGGTTGCCACAAAGAAGGTTATGTGAATTGTTTACTTTAGTATTTTTTTAAAAAATTTGAGTTGAATTGATTATTTGTACAGTGAATTAGAGTTTATATAAGTACCCTTCTGAAAGTGGTTTTGACAATTTTACGGCGAAAACCTACAACTTGTATTATTTTGGGTTGTAAAGTCATGATGTTTTTATTGCCTCTATGGATCTTGAATTCTACATACTTAGACTAATCAAAGAAATTGTAATAGTCATTTTATTACAGGTAAAATACATTTTTTTGACACACAAATAAAAACATACTGTAACTAGATCATACTTTGAAGAGAAGCATGAGAATGCTATTTATTGTGTATTGTGTTTAATCAACTGTCTGGTCTGCACCAATAAATTAAAGTAAAGGAAATCATGATACTAATAACATACATCTCAAAAAGTGATCTTTTTACATATATCAAGGATACTGTAGTATAACCAGGGCTTAACAATCCAACAAAGTTGGTATCACTGAGTATACGTCACAGTTCCACTCCTGCGACACCAAGTGGTGGCGCGCGCAGTCCATCTTATATTTTGCGTATGGTAACGGTTTCGTCCTGCGTTGTACCATTTTTGTACCGGGGATTAAAAATGTGTTTCCTGTTCGAATAAAATAGTAACAAACAAATGTGAGTGTTGTTATTCAACCGGAACCTAAATACATTATAACTTGGCGACGAGTAAATACGAACCCTCCGCACCCCCAGAAGTGTATAATAAGTGTGCAGTGCAGAAGAAAAAAAAAAAACAAAATGTCACCGACACCGGAAAAAGTGCCCGACTATACCACAATGATTGGAAATCTAAGAGAATTTTCCTTGCAAGATTCGGATTGGAAAATTTTTAGAGCGAGAATGGAACAATTTTTTGTGGCAAATAATATCGCGGACGTAAATAAGAGACGAGCTTTGTTGTTGAATGCATGCGATGAAGACGCTTATCGGTTAATTTATAGCTTATCGTTTCCAACAAATCCCGAGGAAAAATCCTATACTCAACTGATAGCATTGTGTGACACTCATTTCAAGTCCACATCTAGTGCTTTTCATGAGAGACTTAAATTGTATAGTGCAAAGAAACATACCGAAGAATCTATTTCGGAGTGGGCCGCGAGAGTAAGGCAATTGGCGATAAAATGTGAATTTGGAGTCGAATTAATGATCATTTTAAGAGACAAATTCATTATAGGAATTGAAGACTCAAAAATCATGCAGAGATTATTTGAAGAAAAAATAGACATTTCATTTGAGAAAGCGGTCGAAGTTGCCAACAGCCAAGTGGACAAAAACTCTGTAAAAAACATCGTGAACGTGAAAAGTGAAGTTTTTTATCAAGATTCAAAAAACTATAACAAACAACGAAATATCGGAAGTTTTTCAAGATCAGCGATAGATGGCGCTAGTAGTAGTGGCTGGATACCGAGGTCGCACCTGACCGGTGGCCCATCGACGTCGGCAGCGAATAACGACCCCAGGAAAAAGAAGACGTGGACTTCTTCGACAGCTGACAACGTAAACAACAGAAATAGGTTATGTGAGGTCTGTGGAAGATCTAATCATTTCAAAGATAAGTGTTTTTTTAAGAATTCTTTTTGCAACATATGTAAAATTAAAGGACACATTGCTAAGGTTTGTCATAAATATAGAAATAGTTTTTTAGAGATGCCAAATACTAAGGAATATGTAAATACATCAGATGACTCTGACAATGATGTTATCAATCATATGTTTAATTTGAATTTAAATAGTAAAAACGAAGTGCTAATTAGAATTTTGGTTAATGCAAAACATTTCGAATTTCAGCTGGATACAGGATCATCTGTATGTGTAATTTCAGAAAACTTTTATGAAAAATACTTTACAGAAATACCTGTAGCTCATACAAAAAAATGTTTAGTTACTTATGATGGTAATAGTATTTATCCATTAGGTTATATTTTGGTTAACATAGAGTATAAAGACCAGAAAAATCTTCTCAAACTATATATTATTGAAGATGGGGGCCCACCACTGTTAGGTCGGGATTTTTTTAACTTGTTCAAGTTAACTATAAATAGCATTTCAATTAGGACATCTAATGATGTAATAAATGTAAAAAAAGATTTAGAAAACAGTTTTACTAAAGTTTTTTCTTCTACATTAGGTAAATTCAATGGAGGCACCATGAAACTACGGATTAAAGAAGGAACAATACCACGTTTTTTCAAAAGTCGTTCAATACCCTTTGCATTGAGAGAAGGAGTTGAAGCAGAACTAGAGAGACTTATAAACGAGAATATAATCAGCCCAGTATCATTCAGCGAGTGGAGTACCCCCATTGTTCCAGTAGTAAAGAAAGGAGGGGGAGTACGCTTATGTGGTGACTATAAAATTACTCTTAACCCAGTTTTACTGATAGATAAATATCCACTACCGCGCATTGAGGAACTTTTTTCAAATTTGCAAGGTGGTGTAGAATTCACCAAAATAGATTTATCACATGCTTATCAACAGGTAGAACTAGATAAAGATTCAAAATTGTTAACAGCAATAAACACTCATAAAGGTTTATTTGTCTACAATAGGCTCCCTTTTGGTATTGCAAGTGCTCCTGCCATTTTCCAGCGTATAATGGAGCAAGTATTGGTAGGAAGCGAAGGGGTAGTATGTTTTCTGGACGATATCCTAATTACCGGTAAAAATAGAAAAGAACACTTAAAGAGGGTTTATGAAGTTTTGGGAAAGTTAGAGAAAAAGGGATTTACAGTTAAATTAAGTAAATGTGAATTTTTTAAAGAGTCTGTTACTTATTTAGGGTACAAAATAGATAAAAATGGGTTGCATACATGCGATGATAAAATTAGAGCCATTAAGGAGGCACCCATCCCAAATAATGTTACACAAGTTAAATCTTTCTTAGGTCTAGTCAATTTTTACAATAAATTTATACCTAACGCTGCAACAGTATTACACCCACTTTACAATTTACTAAAAAAAGATGTAAAATTTCAATGGGATACAATTTGTAATGAATCTTTCATACAAATAAAAGATATTTTAAGTACTGCACCAATACTAACTCATTTTGATCCAAGTATAAAAATAAAACTCATGGTTGACAGTTCATTTTATGGAGTGGGGGCTGTACTATTGCATGTTTTCGGTAAGAATGATGAAAGACCTATTGCATTCGCTTCACAAACACTCAACAAAAATCAAGAGAAGTATTCACAAGTAGAGAAGGAGGCTTATGCAATAATTTTTGCTTGTAAAAAATTTTATCAATATTTATATGCAAAAAAATTCATTTTATGCACAGATGCAAAATGTTTAATCAGTATATTTGGGGATAAAAAGGGTATACCCATATTAGCAGCCCACAGGTTGCAACGTTGGGCATTAATCTTAATGAATTTTGTTTATGATATAGAATATGTGAAATCAGAAGACAATAAAGCAGATTGCTTGTCGCGATTGCCCCTTAAGGAGCAATCATCTGATAATGATGAAATAGATATGGGCTATTTTAATTTCATTGTTTCGAATCAGGATCTACCTGTTGACTGGGCGCAAGTTCAAACAGAGACTACTAGAGACCCTATTTTAAGTAAAGTCATAGGATATGTAAAACTGGGTTGGCCCAATAAAATTGAAGTAGAATTGAAACCGTATCAACAGTTTAAAAACCAACTTAGTTTTGTAGATGGTTGTTTGATGCTGGGCCATAAAGTCTTAGTCCCTTTTGTTCTAAGAATGAGATTTCTAAAACAACTTCACTCTACGCATTTGGGTATGGTTAAGACAAAAAGTTTGGCCAGATCATATGTATGGTGGCCTCAATTGAATTTGGATATAGAAAATTTGATTAAAGCATGTGGCACTTGCATGAAAATGCAAAATTCCCCGGTTAAAACACCGCTAATGACTTGGGAATATCCAGAAAGGCCATGGGAGCGGATTCACATAGACTATTTGGGGCCAATATTTCAGAAATATTATATTTTAGT